AATTGCCACCCTCAAATCCATATTTTTCTTTAATTAGGCTAAAAAACAACCCAGCATGACCTTTAGCCAATCTACCCCACCACTTTCCAAGTAATGCCAGATTAAATAGTCTAAGATCCTTAACCCCAAGCCCACCATCTCTTTTGCTAATACAACTGTCTTCTAATTGACCCAGTGAACTGACCTAATCTCCTCACACCCACCCCACAAAAATTTATTTCTAATAACTAATAATTAATTAAACAATCGAAATAATTTCCTTGATCCTAAAAATCATTAATCAATAGCTAATAATTAATTTTACCAAATAATAAGTTAACTAATTCCCTAACTTAAAAATTTTGAAAATGGATTAATTAATAACTACGTATATATATATACATATCCAAAGACAATATTTTTTTTTTTTGAAAAATGGTAGACAAAAAGGCCAAATGCTATAGGAAAATTTTATAGTATAGTATTTCAAAAAGCAAAAGAAGCCATGAAACCATATTTAATAGTCCAAAAATTAAAATTAATAAGTAGATTCACTTGTAACAAAGCCTTGTTTTATGAACATTAATTAGTATACACTTTAATTCAATACATAATATAACACACTCATTAAAAAAATAGTATTTTTAATATAAAATTAAAGATAAATAAATTTAAAAATGTAGCAATATATAAAAAATATAAGAACAAACTGAATTAGTTGTACTATATTATATTTTAATAATTAAACTCAAACAACTATTAAAAAATATATTAAACTAAGTGTGTACTAATTGCTTCCTTTATATATATATATAGCATTAAAGTGTTAATTAAGACTAATATCCAAAAAAGTATAATTTATTGAATGTATAAAGTTAACCTCGGAGGTGCGTACGAGAACAACTTACCATTCAAAAAAAAAAAAAGAAAAGAAAGAAAGAAAGAAAGAAAGCAAGAAAGGAAAAAGCAAAGTTAATCATGTCATCTAAATTTTGAGGCCTCCCTAATTGAAAATTTAATTTCTATTTAATGAATTCTTCTGTAATTTAAGCCCATTTAAGGGTGTATTTTATAATTAATTTATATAAAAAATATAAATTTTAATTTTAATTAATTAATTAAAACTATTCATGTATTAGTAATATTAAAATAAAAATTAATTTTGATAATTTTTTATATAAATTAATTATAAAGAATATATTTATTCTTAAAATATAAATAAGACAAAACGGTATTTAATTAGTCGATCCCACCACAATGGCAAAAGTAATCCTCTCTCTTTCCTCCATGCATGAACTGAGAAGGCGAAGTTCTCTTTTTGAGCACTATAATGTACAGTCCACAGCATACCCCTCAAGAAAGCTTATAGACGAAGAAAAACTACCTCCACTCAAAACCCTAGAAATTATAATAAAACAAAAAGGAGGATGAAGAGAATAGGATGAGCTAAATAAACAAAAGCAGACCACTCATCCTACCCCTACCTTTCTTTCTTTCATCTCCTCTCTTTAATTCTCTTTTCTCCTCTCTGGTATTCCCTTTGGTGTGATTCTCTCCATCTTATTTTCCTTTCCTAAAGATTAAACTTTAAAAAAGAAAAGCAAAATAACATGGTTTTCTCTTCTCTTCCAGTCTATTTAGATCCTCCCAATTGGCAACAGGTATGGTTTTTTTTCTTCATCATCGATCGAATTCTATCCACCCCAAATAAAGCAAAATTCAAAAGATAAATATTCATATTCTCCTCCTTTCTCTTCTTTTTTCTTGAATATACCAAACTGTATTTGCTTATGATTTTTATTAATAGCTTTGGATTGTCAATATTGGCAGCATAATCAGCAAGGTGATCAAAACCTACAACTTCCACCTCTTCCTCCTTCTGCTGCTCATGTTGGTGGTGTCGGTGTCTCGATCAGGCCTGGGTCCATGGCTGAACGAGCCAGGCTAGCCAAGATACCGCTGCCTGAAGCAGCCCTAAATTGTCCCAGGTGCGAGTCCACCAACACTAAGTTTTGCTACTTCAATAACTACAGCCTGTCGCAGCCGCGTCATTTCTGCAAGACATGTAGGCGGTATTGGACCAGAGGAGGCGCCCTAAGGAACGTTCCAGTGGGCGGAGGCTGCCGCAGAAACAAGAAAAACAAAAGCAACAACTCAAAGTCATCCCAAGCGGCCTCCAACAGTTCAACTTCTTCTAGTGCAGTTTCTCCCGAAATTTCCGTGGATTTGACACAGCAAACTGCTCATTTGCCCTTTATGTCTTCTTTACCTAGTCTCACACAGTATGGTCTGGGGAATATTGGGTTAAACTTCGGTGGAATGCATGGACAGATCGGAGGACAAACCGCGGCAGTAGTTAATGGACCGGCTGATTTGGGGTTTCAGATATCTAACTCCGGAGGAGTTCTGCAGTTTCCATTCTTTGAGCCACCAACTGGGTTATATCCATCTCCCGTGGTTGGAGAGAGTCAGCTCAGATCAGCTAGGGTTTCTCAGCAGGTTTCAGTGAAAACGGAAGATAATAATCAAGTGGGGCTGAATATATCTAGGGCAGTGCCACTGGGTAATGTTTCGGAAAATAATGATAACCAGTTCTGGGGAGGAAACACTTGGACTGCTGCTGATTTATCAGGTCTCAACTCTTCCACTACTACTAATCATATCTGATAGTTGATATTCTAGAAGGTTTCAGTTTCCACTGATCCGAACATTGGCACAATAAGTCAATAACACTGTACGTTTCCTTGGATCAAGCAGCTTGACTCTCTCACAAGTTCCAAAGAGTAAGGAAAACTGGTCTGATATTGGCCTATAAGGAAGAGCTAAAGACTGGTAGAAGATACTAGAATATTAATGTTTTTCATATATATGTTTTTTGGGTTTTTTTGAGAGCAGTACGTATGTGTCTTTTGGTGTCTTGTATTGCAAGGGATTGTTTACAGATTTGTCTCTCTGTGAGTGTGTGTGGCTGAATTTACATGGGATATCTCCTGTTATCTGACATGAAAATCTATTTCTTCGGTCTGCACATATGATATATATATCCTTAATTTCTGCTAAATGTCTCCTTCTTCATAGATCATGCATTGCAGCATACTGCAAGTTTTGCTTCATATATATAAGAGACAGCGAGAGATCAGTTTATTTCTGCCGAGCATATTAAGGAAGAAAATTTCGTAAAATCATGCTGATCATATTTGAGCCCTACAGAAATTCCATCAACCTTTTTTTCCTAACACCAAAATTAGAAATGCATACTAATTAGCCATACACATATATCTTTGATCTTGATTTGGGATCAAGATTTTGCTACTAGTGGATATGAACTTTGATTAAACTCTTATTTGTTCATGAATAGCTTTCTAACCATATTAAGTTTGTTGTTTCATGTTTCATCTTGGTTGTCACTGATGGAGAGGGAAAGTACTTGGTTGCATTTCCCATACGTTTCCCCATTCTTCTCTGAATGTTGTGAAGCTTTAATTAAAGCTTCTTGTCTAGCATTTTTTAGGCAAGCGAGGGCGCAGAGTGTAGTACTTGTTTATTGTACTACTCACCACTCCATCTCACAGACATAGATTTATAGGAGAGATTTAATGATTTTGTAATTATAAGAATGATGAGATATGGTACAAAGTACTGAGTTACTCATCAGTTGTTGGGTTTGGACAATGGGAGAAAAACAACAAACCCTTAAGAAAGCGCCAAAGTCCATTCAAGCCATGCAATTAAGACCTCAAATTTCAAAACAAACACGTCCTCAGTTACAAGTACATCCTATCATTCTAGATGGGGTCAAAAAGAAGAATTTAAGACTTCAATCTAGTTTAGTTTATTTAAATTATTACTCTCTCTTTCGAGCTTTTTGGGTATGTGATAGTTTTGTGTGCATGATCATTGTCCTTCAAATTTGGTCCAAAAAGGGAAATCAAAATGAAAATATTGGATTAATTAATGGTTGTTTACATAAATTTTAAGCCGAAGGAAAA